GGCTCCGACTCCCTCGCCGGCGAGCCTGTGGGGAAAGGGCCGAGTGAGCAATAAAGCCAACGTGCAGCCACGATACAGTACGAGCCACTGGGACCATGTACTGAGCCTCCCGTGGCCTCCGGTGGGGTGTGTCTGTGTCACGGGTGGAAGGTGACCACGCTCATTTTTATTAGTGCATCAGGTGCCAAGAGCTGCAGGTAGGAATATTTTTTCCTACAAAGCTCACAATGTAAAATATCTCCCTCTCTGCCCTTGGTGCATCACTCGGTGACGATCACTTGAGCCCAAGGAGATGCACCCAGAGCAGCACACAACAGACAGGTCCATGTGCATGTCCTCACCTGCTCTCCTCGCCCTCCAGCAGCTTCCTGTAGGTCGCGATCTCGATGTCCAGGGCCAGCTTGACGTTCATCAGGTCCTGATACTCGCGGAGCTGCCGGGCCAGGTCTGTCTTGGCTTTCTGCAAAGCATCCTCCAGCTCGGCCAGCTTGGCTTTGGCATCCTTGAGGGCCATCTCCCCGCGCTCCTCGGCCTCGGCGATGGCAGCTTGGAGGTTGGCACACTGAAAGTGAGGAAAATGGTGGTTTAACTTGGGCCACCCCAACCTGCTCTCCTGGGTATTGCTATGGTATTGTAGATACTGGCTGGTGGCTCCCAGGATCCCACCAAGATGTTGTAGGGTGGGTGACTGGGGAGCTGTACCGTAATCCTGTCCCTCAAGAAAAGGAGAAACTTCCACTCCTCTTTGCTGCACCCTTTCTGGGGTAGCCTAGTAGCTCATAGTTTGCTCCCCAACAAGAAAGTGGCTATCACAGCACCTCCTTGTGCTGAGGGACCTTCTCTGGTGGGCAGAGGTGGCCATGCCCTCTTCAATGCAGCGGGGCAGCCTGACCTTCCCAGGAGCTGGCTCTTTCTGCCAGGCCTGGCCAGCGTCACCTCCTCCACGCTGCTCCCCACCACGCAGCAGCTGCTCTGCAGGAGCATCCCCCTCCTACCTGTTTCTTCACACTCTCGATCTCGTTCCGCAGCCTCTGGACGACCCGGTTGATCTCTGAAATTTCTATCTTGGTGTTGCGCAGGTCGTCGCCGTGCCGCCCAGCAGAGACCTGGAGCTCCTCGTACTGGTAGGTGGAAAGGAGGAGAGCACTGGTGAAGCACCACAGGGCTCGGGAAAGGGTGAGGGGACTTCAGGGCACAAAGCGCAGGTCTGGATGCGGGTTAAGGGTGGGGGGACAACTTTCCTGTGAGCAACCTGCCCACAGTGATCCATATATGCTAAGGCAGCAGCTGTTGTGTTGCATAGAGCACCTATGGGTTGTCACCTACTGTGGAAACCTGGAAGGGCAAGAGGAGTGCTCCATGTCTGGGGCCAAATCTACCAGAGGCTCCTCGTGAGCCCGGGGTCAGGGCATTTCACACTGTCCCTTGGTTCCACCACAAGCAATATAAGGCTTGTCAAGAGTTGCAGCCCAGGGGCGAACGCTGGGGATCTGTACACAAGAGCCGACTGCAACACGTGTCCAAAAGAAATGAATCCCTGGTGTAAGGCTGTGATCCTTCCTCCTCTAGCCCTGCCTCTGCTCAGCCGGGGTGATGCCACGTGAACCACAGAAACCGGTCACGTTCTGGGCACCCACCTTGTTTTGGTACCAAGCCTCAGCCTCCGCCCGGCTGCGGTTGGCGATGTCCTCGTACTGCGCCTTGACCTCGGCGATGATGCTGTTCAGGTCCAAGTTTCTGTTGTTGTCCATGGATAGGACCACAGAGGTATCGGATACGTGCTGCTGCATCTGGGACAATTCCTGCAGAAGATGCAAAAAAGTACTGGTCTGGTATCTGGGCTGGACACCACCTGGACAAGGGGTTGCTGGGGAGCCCTCTCCAGTGAGCCATTTTCTTGCGTTTCCCCCATTCTCTCTCTGCCCTTTTCTCTCTTATGCCTGAGAAGGCAACGGCACCTTCGTTTTTACTGCTGCCCGTGTCTGAGCACGGCAGCCGGGTGGAGAGCAGGGTGGCAGGGAGCTGTGGAGGACACTGCCCAGGGAGGGCTGAGTGCTTTCTGTGATTCTTACCGCTTCGTAGAGAGCTCTCAGGAAGTTGATTTCATCTGCCAGCGTGTCTGCTTTGGCCTGCAGCTCGACCTTGTTCATGTAAGCACCATCCACATCCTAAGGAAAAGAAAACCAAAGGCTTCTGATGAAGCCAAAGGGGCTCCAGGACACTAGTGGGACCATCTCTCTGCTTCCAGGTCTGTTATTCTTTAGGCTTGTTTTTATATTGCTTTGGTCAAGGTTTGGGGCTTTTCATGTAATGTTGGACATTTACTGTGAGCCAGATTCAGGTTCCTGGGCAGAAGGCAAAGCTCTGACTCACGGTCATGTTACCAGAGACAGAGTTGAACCGAGCCACAGGAGAGCAGATGGTTTGCAATAGCAACCAGAGGAGCTGTCTTCAGAAACCAGGGCAGCTCCTTTGGCTTGGAGAAGGTTATGCCCTTGCGTGGCCTCAGGAGGCCCCAGCCCATACTTACTCCTTCACGTGCCAGTGTCATAGCACGACCCTGCCAGGAGGTTGGAGGACCTGGGCTCCCATCAGCTTTGCTTGAACTCTGTGCCTGCCAAGTTAGTTTCACTGTCTGTCCCATAACTCCCAGTTCACTCACCTTCTTGAGGACCACGAACTCGTTCTCTGCACCAGTGCGCCGGTTGATCTCATCTTCATATCTGTTAGGATAAAAGGGTGAGAGGGTTTTGGTGGAAATGAGGAGCAAAGCCAGCATGGGAAGCAGAGCTGGGACCACTCAGTCCCTCATCATTTGCTGTGGCTTGGGGATCTGTTCCTTGCTCCCACCTGCTTACAGTCCAGCGCAGATGCAGGTTACTGGCTCTGAACCTCCCTGGTGGGAGCAGTCCCAGCTAAAATGAATAGACTTTAATCACTGCCCTCAAAGCCAAGCTGGTTTGTAAACGTGAGCAGGATCAGAGCCCGTTTCGGTAGGAAGTGGGAGCAGATATTCATGGTGACCTTTGCCCAAAGCAAAGTTATGCAAAAGGTTTTGAGCGAGGCTGCATTGCAATGCCTACAAATATGTAATAATCTGACAATTTGATATTTGATATTATAATAATGCTAATGGCTCTCAATAACCCACTGCAGCAGTTAATTAAAATAAAAAAGTCTGTGATTCTTTAGCCGTGGTTGTGCAAGAGCAGATGATTATCCCTCAGACTGTGTTTCTGTGGAACTTTTTTATGGCTTTGAGCAACATCCTCTCATCAGATAATCAGGGCAGGGCTTAGCTAGAAAGTAGACAAAACATGTAGGCTCTTGAGGCAAAGACCTGGATTTTAAAGGCAGGTTCGTGCCAGTCCTCTAACTAATATTGGCAGAGATATCCCTGCAGATGGATCTCTGAGCAGACATGGGGAGAAGTGGAGGCTAACCAGTGGACTGGGAACCAGCTCTAGGCTTGAAACAGGCAGTAGCTCCAAAATCTAGACAATATCATGTGTCATTTTGGGCTTTATCTGTAGTTCTAAAAGCCTATAATACATATTGAGACCTGAAGTACAACAACAGAAGCTATGTCAGTCCGTCCTGTCAGCTCTAAGTGCCGTTTCCCTGCTGTCCCCCCAAAAAATCTGTCTCTTCACATGCTTGACTATCCAGTACAAACATCTGTCAGGCCTTTGGGTGTTCTTCCCAAATTTGCACTTGGCCAGATCTGGTTCAATAAAGGAGAGGTTGTTCTCGCCAGACTACAGCCTGCTAAAAATGAACAGCCTCACCTAAAAAAAAACCCTAAATGTCCCTTACAGTCAGCGGACACTGACTGGGGTGTCCTAAAACTGACTCACCCCCCTCCACTGGATGCCTTAGCTTAGGACAGTGTTAGCTGCCCCCACGGGGAAATCATTTTCTGTGGCAGAGCTGGGAGGAAGGAGCTGAGCATCCTTCACGTGTGGGAGCTGAGCGAGGCCGAGCGCACCCAGGTCACCCGGATTTGCCTTTGCAGAAAGAGAAATGGGGCGTCTGGGAGCTGGCAGTTTGTGGCTGCGTTTCACTCCCTTTTTGCCTGCCCACTAAACTCATGATTTCTGTGGTTTTCTGTCTCCAGGTACATTGTTTCGGGAGGCTCAAGGGGCCAGACCATGACCTCAGTTACGCTGGAGCAGCTCCCCACGACTGCGCGAGTTCTCTGCTAAATATTGATCCTGCATGTAAGAAATCTGTCGTAACTAGAGGTAATTCTGGGTCCAAGTTTTGCTTTTTGGTGTTCATTTTGCAAACTGGGAGAGGATCCCAGTGCAAACAGGGGGGTGCACAGCGAGCATGAGCAGCCTGCCCCAGTTTCCCCATCTGTGAATCATTTATGCTACAGAGCACACGAATTCTTACTTGTTCTTAAAGTCTTCCACCATGTCCTGCATGTTCCTCAGCTCAGTGTCCAACCGGCCCCTCTCTCCCATGAGACTGTCTAGCTGCCGTCTGAGGTTGTTGATGTAGGTTTCAAAAAAGGGCTCGAGGGACTTCCTGGTGACTGTGTGACCTTGCTCTTGGAGGAGGGTCCACTTGGTCTCCAGCACTTTGTTCTGCTGCTCCAAAAAGCGCACCTGGGGAGAAACAGAAACGGGCACGTGCTGAAGCCCACGTGCACAACGCAGAGAACCCCCGCTGCCAGGAGAGGGGCCGTTCAACACAGAAAGAAAAGGTCAGGGAGTGCTGGGACAGTCAAAGGGAAAATATCAAGATCGTCCTAATTCAGGGCACCAGATTCTGGAAAGTATCAAAAGCAGTGAAGAGGTTTAGTGAGATTTTTCAAGAGCTATCAAGCAGGCTGAGCACCTGTATCTGCAGCTTTAGGTGTTTCTCCCCCAACTACATGCTCAGCCCACCTTACCGGTTTTAACTGGTGTTATCCCATTGAGTTGGGGAGAGCTTTGCCATTTTACAACCAGCAGAAGATCCATCCATCCCCCAGGATGTTTTTTACAGGGAAGAGGGGGATTTACTTTTTCAATAAAATAAGGCACTGAAAAGCTCATCCTTGCAAAGAGGAAACATGAGATAGTTCTTAGTTTTCAGCCATCCCACGCTGTTTGTTGGCTGGGATGAGTTCAGGCAAGCCCCTAAATCCAAAGGAAGTTTCTTCCTGTTGTTTTTTTCCCGAGGCAACTGATAATATGCATGGCTTCATGTCTGAGACCAAACTCTCACCTTGTCGATGAACGAGGCAAATTTGTTGTTGAGGGTCTTGATCTGCTCCCGCTCCTGTGTCCGCACCTTCTGGATTTCCGGGTCGATATCCAGCTTGAGGGGTGCCAGGAGGCTCTGGTTGACAGTCACTTCTTGGATGCCACCGGGTGGGCAAACGGGGAACCCAGGACCACCTCGACCACCAAATCCAGGTCCTCCCAGCCCAAATCCACTGCCCAGCCCATAGCCGCCACCACCACCAGCTCCTCCTAAGCCAAAACCAGCGCCTGCTCCACCACCATAGCCAAGACCAAAGCCAGCTCCTCCACCAAAGCCATATCCGCCACCGGCTCCGCTCCGTAGACCTCCACCGACCGAGCTGTAGGCGATTCTTCTGCTTCCACCTAGGTTATAGAGGCTTTTGCTGCCGAAGCCACCACCAGCTCCAAAGCCTCCTCCACCTCCGGCTCTTCCTCCTCCAACTCTGGAAACAGAGACGGAGCTAAAACTGCTTCTGGTACCACCGCCACCTCCTCCTACGATAGCAGAGCCCGAGCTAAAGCCCCTCACGCCCCCTCCAGTAGATGATCTGAAAGAGATCCGACTCATGGTGGCTTGTTCGATTGGAAATGCAAAGAGCAGAGAGGGGGGAAAAAAAAGGCTGGTGAATAAAAGCTGCGCAGCAGGAAAAGAGCAGAGGGCAATGGAGACAGAAACCCCTGTGATGGGAGAGCTTGGGAGCCTCCTCTTTTATCTGCTTGGAAAACTTGGCACGGGAATTCAGAACTTGACGTGCCTTGCAGCAACTTGCCTTGTCAAACACACCTAGGCTACGGCGAGGCACGGAAAAATGCATTGTTTGCAGGCAGGAAAGTAACGGAGTGAGGGAGCTCCCCCCTCTCCCAGAGCCTGCTGCTCTGACTCATGGAATTAGGGTTGGATGGGACGAGTCCCTGAGGTCTGCGCGCAGGGGCAGGACACAACACGATTCTCCCGAGACCCTGGGAGCGGGTTCTCCTCGGGCGAGCCAAGGGCTCACTCGTTGAGTAAAGGTTCCTTGCCAGGGAAGCTTTTGCAAGGTGAAGTTTGGGGTTTAACACGTTCCGGGGGAAGCAGGGCAGCACAAACAGGGGCTTTTCCAGGACTGCCAGCTCCAGGACTGGACGTGCGTGTCCTCTTGTCGGCTCAGGGAAGGTGGAGCTGGTGGTGGGTTTACTGATCAGTGCAGCTATTTTGATTTCTTTCAGGAAAGAGATCTAAATGATCACGGGCTTGCAGGGAAGAGCTGAGTGGAAGTTTGTCTCATGGCAGTATTTACTGGGATCTTACCAAAAAACTGTCTCCCCCTATTGCAAGGGGAGACAGAAATCAGTTAATGTGGCTTTCAAAGACAGTAAGTAAATCCCTTTTCCAAAAATACTTTCAATCAATAGTACCATGAGGCGTGTCAAATAATAATTAAAAATGTGCTTGAAGTGATTGCTCTTCTTTTGAATTTCCTTGCCAGGCTCAGGGTTCAAAAACTCCCTGTGAAGTGGTATTTTTATCACATTTTTTCCTCCCCCCCTGTGTTTAACCAGCAGTCTCCACGTCATTGCTGGCTCTCCAAGGCACTCTGTGGAGGGGAATTCAGCTGCTTTTCTTCCAGCTCCCTCCCACCCCCCTAATTCAGTCTGCTGAGATCATTCAGTTGGAAATTTTTTCTAAAACAACCTTTGCCTCTTGATCTTGGGCTCGTGGGTGAACCCTCACCCAGGAGCTTCGATCCCCGTGGTGAGCCTGGGTTGTGCTTTAGGGTGGGGTACAGGCAGGAGAGCCGGGGACCTCTCCTTGGGGACACAGGTTACAAGAGAAGAGATCCCCTCCCTCCCACCCAAAATACTCCTGCAAACTGGATTCTGCCCAGCCTTATCCTTGTGCCACCTCAGTTGTGTTGTGTGTCAGATAAAATAACAATGCTGGGTGGAGAGACGAAACCCTGATCAGCTAAATCAAAAGGATTCTTGAAATCAGCTACGTGAGCAATAAGTACAGGAGCTTAATCCAAAACGAGCAGCTTAAGGGTA